CTACATCCCCAATTCCCCAGCTAGGATTTATTTCCCTTCACAGAATTATTCAGCCTTAGAAGGTTTTTGTACAGCCAGCAGGTGTCTTTTGTGTTGGTGTGGATCTTGGGCCCCGCAGAAATAGACCGCGGAATCTTTCAACTGCACTTTTGTGATGTTGAACTGACTCTCCTTTTTCTGCTTGTCAAAAGAGGCACTGAAGTGTCTGAGTTTCTCCAATTTCCCCGATGAAGCCGTTAGGAGAAACGCAGGGCCTTCTCCTGGATATTGCCTGTACCATTGCATGTTATACACATTACTGGAGCTGAACTGACAGGCGATGGTGGAATCCTCTCCTTCTTTGATGACTTCCATGGGCTTCTGATCCACTCGGTCCTGGCATTGGACCCCTGGAAGAGAAAGACACGGGGATCATTCAGTTGATTGTGAGGAACCTTTGAACCATTCCTCTGTCTTGGGCAATCTGCTGCAATTTGCAGATGACTTACAAAGGAATCAATATGGGAGAACAGGCATAAATGGAAAAAGAAGCAGATGTTTATCTGTGGAGATTCTCAGTCATCCAGGTCATGGTTGCCCCAAAGGTGCCTTTTCCAAAAGACAGCTGGCTTTTCTTAGGTTTTTTTTTTCCCCCTTTGAAATGTTTTGCTTTTCATCAGACAGTTAAAACTGAAGAAGCTTCTTGTGTGAGAAGCAAAGCATTTTCAAGGAAAAAGAAGAAGGAAATTCAGTTGCCTTTTGAAAGAAGCAGGTTATGAAGCTGTAGCTCAAGATGTTTTCCTGATCTTTCTTCAAAGGGAACCCAGTAGGGAGCTCGATTTCCTCTTCTTGGTTGCCCTCCATCTTTGGTGACAACCAGCAGGTGTCTTTGTAGCACTGTGCTCCATGCACAGAAATAGACAGCTGAATCCTTAAGTTGAGGTGTTCTTCAGATACAAAGAGGTGGTCTTGTTATTTGTGTCCAGAGTCATCTCGAAATTATCCTTTGTTACAGTCTTTGATGAATACAAGTTCATCATGAACTCTGGCTGGCCTCCTGGATATTGCTTGTACCACTGAAGATTAGAAGCTGTTTCCGAATAGGAGCATTTCAAACGGATGGAGTCTCTTTCCTTAATTGAAAGAAATCGGTGCTCCTGGGTGACTCTAGCTTGACCCGATACAACTGTAATAGAAAGGGAGGATTAGGAAAGGAGATGGATGGAGGGATGGAGGGATGGAGGAATGGAGGGATAGAGGGATGGAGGGGTGGACGGGTGGAGGAGTGGAGAGGTGGGGGGGTGGAGGGAGGGATCAGAGGGAGGGAGGGAAAGAAGGGAGGGAGGGAGGGAGGGAAGAAGGAAGGAATTCCAAACCTTTAATTAACCAAACCTTTAGTACTGTATATCCAAGGAGCCAATATTATTCAAAGTTTGTAATCCTACCTTTACACTATTAAGTGCTTAAATAAATAAATTTTCTCCTGGATGCTTTTGCTGGTTTTCTTTGTATGGCTTTTGAAATATTCAGGTCCAGAATGACCTTGAGGAGGCCTTGCTTCAAAAAGAAACAAAAATTGGCAAAGCATGATTTCCACCAATAAATGAAAATGAGGCAATAAGAGGAAAGAAAAAAAAGGAAGGAAGGAAGGAAGGAAGGAAGGAAGGAAAGGAAGAAAAAAAAGAAAGAAAGAAAGAAAGAAAGAAAGAAAAAAAAAGAAAGAAAAAAGAAAGAAAGAAAGAAAGAAAAAAAAGAAAGAAAAGAAAGAAAGAAAAGAAGGAAGGAAGAAGGAAAGAAGGAAAAGAAAGAAAGAAAAGAAAGAAAAAAGAAAGAAGAAGAAAGAAAGAAAAAAGAAAGAAAAAGAAAGAAAGAAAGAAGGTAGGGAGGAAGGAAGGAAAGAAAGAAAGAAGAAAGGAGGAAAGAAGGAAAGAAGGAAAGAAGGAAAGAAAGAAAGAAAGAAAGGAAGGAAGGATGGAGAAGGAAGAGGGAGAAAAGAAAGAAAGAAAAAGAAAGAAAGAAAAAGAAAGAAAGAAAGAAAGAAAGAAAGAAGGATAAGATTTTGCTGATTTTCTTTTTATGGCTTTTGAAAGTTTCAGCTCCCAAACCACCTTAAGGAGGCCTGGGCATGATTTCCATCAATAGAGGAAAAAAATAAGAGGAGAAGGATACCTGTGGAGATGGCCAACAGCAAGGCAACGATCCTGCTCCCCAGATCTCCCATCATTCTTCCTTTCTCTCAACAGGCAGGACAACTCTGTCCCCAGAAACACAGGAAAGGGAGAATGCCGACACAGTCTTGTGGGTGGCTTCGTGCTCAGACCTTCTGGGGATTGAAGATCTGCTCAGCTCTGCTTTGACTCACGTAGATCAAAGGAGGAACATACCACAAACCCAGAACATAGAACCTTTGTCTTAACTCACGCTCTTTAGCAAACAAGCCAAAATAGAAAATCTATTGTTTTCTAGCTGGAATAATTCACGGTAGGGAACATAGATCAATATCTCAACCACATGGTGAGAACCGGGATAACTATTAAATCAGAAATGCGGTAAATGGTCAGGGTTACATCCAACTGGGATCCTTCCAGTGGGTTTCCTTTCAGCCTCACTGACCTTTATCGAAGAAAGAATCTTCTAAAGAAAGGATCCTTTGGGTCTTCTGATTTCTCTTTGTACTTGGAATTTAAGCAAGGATTCTGGGTTTCTTTGTGGAATTCTAACCACACAGCTTGTTCCAAACAGAGAGCATCCATGTGTGAAAGATTACAAGGCCCGAATGCCAAATCAATGTAGTCATGTTCTAGGGGATATTGGGAATGACAATGGGACTATTGGTCACAAGGGTTGGAAGCTGCTATTCAGGGATCTGAGGAAAGGCTGCACCTACCATCAGGCCGTATAAGAAGGCAGCAAGTGAACAAGAGGGCAAACTCACAGGAGATTTCACATCCTGCATCTAACTTCCCAATGCTATGATACATCTTTGCATCAATCTGATTCCCACCAGACACGGGGCTACCCCAAAAGGATAAACATGGAAAGAGAGGACAAAGGACGTTATATTCATTCCTCCTTTTTCCCTTCCAGCCATCACTTATAGGACAGCACTTGAATACCCCAAAATGCATTTTTCCATTCTTGCTGGAGTGGGAAATTACACACCATCAGGTTGGGTTGCTACCTCGGTGGGAAATCACAAGGAGATCTCTAAGTTCTAGGTTGCACTAGGAAGTAGAACAAATATCCTGAGAATGAAGCAAATCACTTTCCTAACTTGGCCAAGAAAACTGGAGCCTGTTTCCCTCTTCAGCACCAGAGGTGAAGCTCATCTACAGGACATTATTAGCCTACGTTACTCTTTTGATAGGACTGTGGGAAAGAAAAACTGACAAGACTCACGTCTTCTTCCCTTGCTTTCCACCATGCTAAGAAGATATACCATATTTTTCGGAGTATAAGATGCACCTTTTTAGGTAAGTCTTATAGTCCGCTGTGTCTTAAACTCTGAAAAATACAGGTATCTCTCCCTGAAGATATGTCTCTCTATCCTTTTGACACCAGATATTAGGATTATTATTTCTACTTCAAGTAATGATCTGTCCTATCAAGTTCAGAGAACCAGTGGAGTCAAGAGGAGGGAGAAAACTTTTAGAAGAGTTCCCAGTTGACAGATCTTTACTAGAATCTGGTTGTAGTCCATTGCCCTCTTGTGGGGAGAAAGATGAAAAAAAAGATGAAAAAACCCACATTCAACAAAATAGGCCTGTAATCCCCAACATTTCCTATTGAGTCATTTGATTGTAAGGTTCATCCCGCATGCCTCGAAAAACATTTTATGTCATGTCCTCATGCCATTGTCATCTCATCCCAAACCCATAGCAGATACATTTTAAAGTCAGCTTTAAAATAAGCAGTGTTTTTCGGGCTTCTTCCATTGCTAAGAGGGTTGATGATATGGTCATGGGTGAGTGATATCCAGGTCTTTGCGGCAGGAGTGGGTTTCACTTACCTTTGCTACCAGTTCGCTCGAAGCTTCTGTGCATCCACAGATCATATTTTATGACGTCCAGGTGGGTGGGCGGACATCAAACTGGGGCAAACCGGTAGCAAGCCACCACTGCTCGGTGGCCATTTTAGGTTTTGGTATCCTTCTATCTATGAACTGCAAGGACCTTTTGCAGGGGAGGGTTCTACTTACCTTTACTACCGGTTCGCAACTCACTTTGCTCGCACACGCACCTTGCTTCTGCGCATGTGCAGATCACTAATGATGACATCCGGGTCAGTGGGTGGGGCCTTCCGTTGGTTTAACTACCGGTTCTTGCGAACCGGTCCAAACCGGGGCAACCCACCACTGACCTTTGGCTGGTGCGACAGGAGAGAGCAGAGGCCATATCATGTCTACCTCTCTAACTTCCAAAGTGATTGTCACATTTTATTGAGGTTCCTTTGGAAGGAGCACTAGATCTGATAATCATAATCATAATTATAAGTTTATTTGTCAAGCATATATAAATAACGTAAAAGTATAAACATAATTTGAATACATGAAAAGAGTAAGTAAAAAGGAATATTAGGACAGGGATGGTAGGCACGCTGGTGCACTTATACACGCCCCTTACAGACCTCTTAGGAATGGGGTGAGGTCAACAGTAGACAGTTTAAGGTTAAAGTTTTGGGGGTTTGGGGAAGAAACCACAGAGTCAGGTAGTGCATTCCAGGCATTGACCACTCTGTTACTGAAGTCATATTTTCTGCAATCGAGTTTGGAACGGTTTACCTTGAGTTTGTATCTATTATTTGCTCCGGTATTGTTGTGGTTGAAGCTGAAGTAGTCATTGTCAGGAAGTACATTGTGGCAGATAATTTTATGTACTATGCTTAGGTCAGATTGAAGTCGGCGTAGTTCTAAGTTGTCTAAGCCCAAAATTTGGAGTCTGGTGGCATAAGGTATTTTATTGCGGTTAGAGGAATGGAGGACTCTTCTCGTAAAACATCTCTGGTCTCTCTCAATTCTATTTATGTCCGATATGCAGTGCGGGTTCCAGACAGATGAGCTGTATTCAAGAATTGGTCTAGCAAATGTTTTGTATGCTCTAGTTAGTAGTACAACATTACCAGAGAAGAAGCTACGCAAGATTAGGTTAACAACTCTTAAAAGCCTTTTTGGCAATGTTGTTACAGTGGGCTTGGGCACTTAGATCTTTAGAAATGAGTACTCCAAGGTCCTTGACAGAGTGACAGAATGAGTAAGAAATAGATAAATCTAAATAGTATTTGCAATAGCAAGAATATGCATAGCTGGGATTTGAATATTGACTCCAGCATGATTTGGAGCCCACCAATTGATCGGTTTGATTGTTGTAACCACAGATGTGGAAGTTTATTGGGGATTGTTTGGGCTTTTTATTTCTCTAAGCTTATCTGAAACACCTTGATTGAGTTGGAGGGGGGGTCATATTAATTTTCTTAAATGAATGAAAATCAATAAGGTTTGGAGATTTGCACCCCCGAATTTGCAATGCAATGCCATCTGAATAGCTATCTGCAGTCTATGGCATAGTACCCCGGGTACCTTCGAGACCGACTTCTGCCACCAATAGCCTCCCACCGGCCAGTTCGCTCCCACAGAGAGGGTCTCCTCAGGGTGCCATCAGCCAAGTTATGTCGGCTGGCGACACCCAGGGGGAGGGCCTTCTCTGTGGGAGCCCCAGCCCTGTGGAATGAACTGCCCCCAGAAATACGAAAGATTTCCGATCTCCGCGTATTCTCTGTGCCCTCAAGACCCTGCTGTTCCACCAGGCAGGGCTATCTATGTAATGATTTTAAATTGGGTGGTTTTTGTTGTTTTTTTTTAATTTGATTTATATGCCGCCCTTCTCCGGAGACTCAGGGCGGCTTACAATGCGTTAAGCAATAGCCTTCATTCTTTGTATATTTTATACAAAGTCAGCTTATTGCCCCCACAAACTGGGTCCTCATTTCACCTACCTTAGAAAGGATGGAAGGCTGAGTCAACCTTGAGCCTGGCGAGATTCGAACTTACAGTAATTGCAGACAGCTGGTGTTAAATTACAGAGCTCTGTCTGTTGAGCTATCCAGGCTCCCTAAATTTGGGGTTTTAAATCTGAGCCGAAATTATTTAATAATTTTTAATTATTTTTAAATTGATGTCTGTCTTTGTGCTTTTAATAGGCTGTACACTACCCTGAGTCCTTCGGGAGAAGGGCAGTATAGAAATAAAATATTATTATTATTATTATTATTATTATTATTATTATTATTATTAATTATTATTTATTAACTACTACTACTACTACTACTACTACTACTACTACTACTACTTTGGGGGATGCTTACCATGAGGCCAGAGGTGAACTCAATGCCAGGACAGTCATTCCCTCAGTCTGGAGACAAGTTGGGTGGGATTATTTTGTCTCCTCTCACATCCTTTCTTTTTTTAACCTCACAAGGTGTCTCTGGGTGCTGCAGACCATAGTCAGTCACTGCCTCCTCTGTCAGATGCTCTCAGCACCAGTTGACATGAACGTGTAAACATTTGTTTTCAGGTTATTGACCCATTTCCCCCTTGCCAGGCTAAATTCCTTCTAGACCCAGGTTTCACACACAATTTAACAATACCACTGGGCCCTGTTCTGGGATTGCCCTATGTGTTAGCTAGAGTAATGGTCAGGAGTTTAGTTGCTTGCCTGCCTGCCTGCCTGCCTGCCTGCCTGCCAGCCTGCCTGCGTGCTTCCTTGCTGGACAAATATATGAAAAAGGATGATGGGCATTCAAGCAATCCATCCCAGCACCTACCTAAACTCTTACAAGCACATTGTACCTCATTAGGATAGAGTGTCTGGGCACATGTATGTTTGGGAACTCTGTTATGGAGTATTTTGCATTTTGTGTGTCATATTCAGTTATTGACAGGACTTAAATTTGGCGGGGAGGAGGAGGGAGGGTTTTTGTACAGGCAGCAGGTGTCTTAGTGTTGCTGTGGATCTTGGGCCCCGCAGAAATAGACCACGGCATCTTTCATCTTCACTTTTGTGATGTTGAATTGACTCTCCTTCTCCTTCTCAAAAGAGGCATTGAAGTGTCCGTGTTTTTCGAATCCCATCAATGAAACCGTTAGGAGAAACGCAGGTCCTTCTCCTGGATTTTGCCTGTACCAGTGCATGAAATGCACATTACTGGAGCTGAACTGACAGGCTATGGTGGAATCCTCTCCTTCTTTGATGACTTCCACAGGCTTCTGAATCAGTTGGTCCTGGCATTGGACACCTGGAAGAGAAAGGCACAGGGATCATTCAGTTGATTGTGAAACACTTTTGAACCATTCCTCTGTCTTGGGCATCCTGCTGCAATTTGCAGATGAAAGTCTGTAGAGATTCTCAGTCATCCAAATCATGGTTGTCCCAAAGGTGCTTATTCAGGAGGCAACTGGACTTTCCTGTGTTTTCTTTGAAGAAGAATTTGGGATGGACACAGGGGTGAAATGCTCCCGGTTCGGACCAGATCACCGGATCCGGTAGTGATGGAGGCGGGTGGTTCGGAAAACCGGTAGCAAAAATCCCTGCCTCCACCTCTCCATGCCCAGCTGAGCTGCACAATCATCAGAGGCTTTTTTTTTACTTTTCAAAGCGTTTTTTCTACAACCTCTTCCGCCGAAAAAATGTTTTTAAAAGTAAAAAAAAAAAGCCTCTGATGATGCGCGGCTCAGCTGGGATCATCAAAGGCTTTTAAAAGAAAAAAAACCTCTGCTGATCAGGCAACTCAGCTTGGATCGTCAGAGGCATTTAAAAGAAAAAAAGCCTCTGCCGATCAGGCAAGTCAGCTGGGATCGTCAGAGCCTTTTCAAAACATTTTTTTTTACAATCTCTTTGGCCGAAGAGGTTGTAGAAAAAATGGTTTTAAAAGTTTTAAAAAAAATTGGCCACGCCCACCCAGTCACATTACCCCACCACCACCAAGCCACGCCCACAGAACTGGTAGTAACAAATTTTAGATTTCACCGCTGGATGGACACCCTTTGAATGGTGTGGGAATAGGAATGGATTTCCAGAGAAAAAAATTGCAGAATGCAGGAACCATTTGCACCACTCAGGTGACCCTGAGGACACAGATAAACCTCCACGTGCTTCAACCACCCTCTGAAAGGATGCAAATGACCAGCAGTCTGCAAGGAATATAAATCCTTCCATTCTGCACTAACCTATCAGAGCGGAGGAATCTTCTTGGATGAGAAGCGAAACGTCTTCAAAGGAAAAAACAAGAAAGTCCAGTTGCCTCCTGAAAAAGCACCTTTGGGGCAATTTGCAGATGTTGTAGAGAGGAATCCATATGGAAAGAACACAAGTAAGCTGAAAAATAAGCAGATCTTTGTCTATGGAGATTCCTTGGCGATCCAGGTTATGGTTATCCCAAAGTTGATTTTTCCAAGAGGCAACTGGATTTTTGTTTTCTTTTCTTTTGTTTTCCTTTAAAGAAGTGTTTTGTTCCTCATTAGATGGTTAGAACTGAAGAAGCTTCTTGGATGAGAAACAAATGATTTAAGGGAAAAAAATGAAGGAAGTGCAGTTGTCGTTTGGAAAAAGACTTTTGGGACAAGCAGATCTTTGGTGTTATGTCCTCCTGATCTTCAAAGAAGAAGAAAGGGTGCTCAATTTCCTCTTCTTGGTTGTCTTCCACTTTGGTGACAACCATCAGGTGTCTTTGTGCAGCACTGTGCTCCATGCACAGAAATAGACAGCTGAATCCTTAAGTTGGGTGTCCTTCAGATACAAAGAGGTGGTCTTGTTATTTGTGTCCAGAGTCATCTCAATATTATTCTTTGTTACAGTCTTTGATGAAAACAGGATCGTCAAGAACTCTGGCTGGCCTCCTGGATATTGCTTGAACCACTGAAGACTGTATTCTGTTTCCTGATAGGAGCATTTCAAACGGATGGAGTCTCCTTCCTTAACTGAAAGAAATGGGTGCTCCTGGGTGACTCTAGCTTGATCTGATAAAGCTGTAATAGAAGGTGAATGTTAGAAAAGGAGATGGATGGATGGATGGATGGAGGGATGGATGGATGGATGGAGGGAGGGATGGATAGAAGGGAGGGAGGAAATGGCATTCCACCAGTCAATTTAGTTTGCTAAACATTTAGAAATTGCAAAGGAGCAATTATCATTCAAAATTTACCATCCTACCTTCACACTCTTTAACTATTTAAATAAATGATTTTTTTGCTTGATGGTTTTTGCTTTGCTGGATGCTTTTGCTGGTTTTCTTTTTATGGCTTTTGAAAAATTCATCTCCAAAGCTGATGCTTTGAGAAGACCTTGCTTCAAAAAAACAAAAGTAAGCATAAACATGATTTCCATCGATAAATGAAAAAAAAAATAAGATGAAAAGGATACCTGTGGAGATGGCCAACAACAAGGCAACGATGCTGCTCCCTAGATCTCGCATTCTTCTTCTTTTGTCTTCAAGAGGCAGGACAACTCTGTCACCAGAAACACAGGAAAGGGAGAACCCAGACAGTGTCTACATGCTCAGCCCTTCTGGGGATTGAAGATGTGCTCAGCTCTGCTTTGACTCATGTAGCTCAAAGGAGGGACATACCACAAACCCAGAAGATATAAACTTCGTCTTAACGTATAGACACTTGAGCAAACAAAATAAATCAGGTTCTGCTAACTCCTAGTTTGAAAAATTCATAATGTGGAATATGTATTCTTGCCGTGCAAGGGAATGGAGATAATTATTCAATAAGAAACGCAGAAACTTCTGAGTGATGGATCCAATGGGAATCTCTCCAGATTGTTTTCTCTCAGCCTTATTGATCTTTCCCAACAAAAAGTTCTTCTGAAGAAAGAGATCCTTGGCTCTTTGGATTCCTCTTTCTACAAGAACTTAGAATTTGAGCAAGGATTCTGTATTTCTTCATGGAATTCTAGCCATACCGGTTGTTCCATATGGGGACATCCATATTTGGAGGTTATTAGGCTCATCTGCCATGTTACTGTAGTCATGTTCTAGAGGATATTGGGAATGACAGTGGGACTCTTGGTCACAAGCTGGTATTCAGGGATCTGGAGGAAAGGTTGCACTTCCATCGGGCCTTATAAGAAGGAAGCAAATGAACTAGAGGTCAAAATCACAGGAGATTTCACATTCTGCATCTAACATTCCAATGCTATGATACATGTTTGCATCATTGTGGTTCCCATCAGACACAGGTCTATTCCAAAACAATAAACATGGAATGAGAGGACAAAGGACATGATCTTCATTCCTCCTTTTTCTCTTCCAGCCATCACTTGAAGAGCATTACTTGAATATCCCGAAATGCATTTTTCCATCCTTGCTGGGATTGGGAAGTTACTCAGCATCAGGCTGGGTTGCTACTTGGGTGGGAAACCACAAGGAGATCTCTGAATTCTAGGTTGTATTAGGAAGTAGAACAACTATCCTGAGAATGAAACAAATCTCTTTCCTAACTGCCAAGAAAACTGGAGCCTGTTTCCCCTTCACCACTAGAAGTCAAGCTCATCTTCAGGACATTATTAACCTACCTTACTCTTTTGACGGAACTGTAGGAAAGGAAAACTGCAAGATTCATGTCTTCTTCCCTTACTTCCCACCATGCCAAGAAGATATATCTCTGCCCAAAGATATTGCTCTCCATCCTTTTGGCACCAGATGTTTGGATTATTATTTCTAGGAATGGAGGAATGCAATCATCACTCAAACATTGCTTGAGGTTTACAATCTGTCCTATCAGGAGGATGACTCAGAGAGCCAGAAGAGTCAAGAAGAGGGCAAAAGTGATCCATAAAACTCTTACGTTGTGCTAGAGATAAGTTCCTTGAGGATGGGCTCTAGCATGATTCCGAAAGCTCAAAAGACAAAACTTCTGGTCCCAGTGACTGACCCAGATTTGGTCCCCTTACAGCAGGGCTATCAAACTCCTGGCCCACCGGCCAGATGTGTCATGCACTGGCCATGCCCACGCCCGGTTTAGTGAAGGGGAAAAAAGTCCTATACATCCTGTGATGCCACCATGATGATGTGAGTTTGACACCCCTGCCTTACAGCATCCCCAATTCAGAGATCTTTACTAGAATCTGGTTGTGGTTCTTCTGCCCTCTTGTGGGGAGAAGGAAGCACGTTTAAGGTGGGGGAAAAAAACCCACATTCATCAAAATTGACCTGTTCATTCATTGGCATCCTTCAGTCTCAAAAGACTATGGTATCGTTCTCTGGAAAGAGGTCCTAAAACAGCATCTAGTGTGACTAAAAAGGCCAATTTGAGAGTGGCAATCCCTTCCACACTGAGGGCATTCTCTCCCCTGCTCAGATACATTCTGTCCCCTGCCCAGCCCCCAGATTTCGCTGGTTCCGGGATTGCCTCTTTGCCTCAGCCTGCCAAACAAGTGTCTCTTCGAATTAGAGAAGGCCATGCTGCATCTTTAGCCTCCAAGCTGAACGATTGGAGGTCAAGTTTTCCCAGTTGTTAATGTCTATTCCCAGGGCCTTTAGGTCCCTCTTGCAGATATCCTTATATTGCAGCTGTGGTCTCCTTCTGAGGCGCTTTCCCTGCACTAATTCTCCATACAGGAGATCTTTCGGAATCTGACCATCAACCATTCTCACGACATGCCCAAGCCAGTGTAGATGTCACTGTTTCAATAGTGTATACATGCTAGAAATTCCAGCACATTCCAAGACTGTGCTTTTTGGAACTTTGTCCTGCCAGGTGATGTCAAGAATTCGTTGGAGACAGCGCATATGAAAGGTGTTCAACTTTCTCTCCTGCTGTGCGTAGAGGGTCCAAGACTTACTGCAGTACAAGAGTGTGCTCAGGACGCAGGCTCTATAGACCTGGATCTTTGTATGTTCCATTAGCTTCTTATTAACCCATACTCTCTTTGTAAGTCTGGAAAATGTGGTGGCCACTTTACCAATACGTTTATTCAGCTCAGTATCTAAAGAGAGAGTGTCAGAGATAGTTGAGCCAAGGTACACAAAGTCATGGATGACCTCCACTTCTTGTAAAATTGACCTGTAATCCCCAACATTTCCTACTATGATTATTTTTGGGAAGAATCATGTGACTGTAAGGTTCATCCTCACATCCAGATGAACACCACAGGAACATGCCTTGAAAACTGGACATTTTATGTCCTGTCCTCATACCATTTTTCATCTCATCCCCAATCCATAGCAGATACATTTTAAAGTCAGTTTTAAATATAGTAGTTATAAAGGATTGTTTTTTGTCCTCTTCCTGGTACATTTTGGTGGGATTGATGATGTGATCCTGGGTGGATGATATCCAGGTCTTTTGGGCCAGTTTAGGCTTTGGGTATGCATTTCCCTTCTACCTATTACCATGTTTCCCCGAAAATAAGACATCCCCTGCAGTAGTCGGTTCCTCTTCCCTTCGCTACTGGTTTGGAACCAGGAGCACGAGCATGTGTATGCTCACTCCACTTGCACATGGACCTTCTGTGCATGCACAGAAACTTCTGTGCATGCCCAGAGTGTCCGTGATGATGTCCGTGCAGGTGGGTGGAGACTCCCACCGCCACTATCGGTTCACCCGAACCAGGGCGAACCATTAGAAGTCCACCACTGATCCCCTGATAATAAGACCACTCGGGCTTTTGAGTGCATACAATAAAATAAGCCCTCACTGAAAATGATCCTTCCCCAAAAATAAGCCCTCTCCAAAAATAAGCCCTCCCTGAAAATATTTAAACACATGCGCAGCCGGTCCTCGCCATTTTCTCTGGTTAGGGTTAGGGAGACAGAGCTGGAAATCATATAAGATGACAAGAGGAGCCCCCGTCTTGTTCCACGCGCCCCAAAATAATAAGACCTCCCTGAAAATAAGACCAAGCACTTATTTTGGGGTTCAAAAAATATAAGACAGGGTCTTATTTTCAGGGAAACATGGTAACTGCAAGGACTTTTTTGGCTGGTGCGACAGGAGAGAGCTGACATTATAGAAGTTCTGCCTCTATAACTTCCAAAATACTTGTCATGTTTTATAGAGATGCCTTTGGAAGGAGCACTAGACCTCATCATAAATAAATAAATCCGGGTGTAGTGGTCCCAATAGAACATGGAATGTTCTTTATTGGTCAAGTGTGATTGGACACACAAGGAATTTGTCACACACTAACATGAATATAGGGACGCAGTGACTAAGAGGCTGAGCCTGTCAATCAAAAGGTCGGCAGTTCAGCGGTTCAAATCTCTAGTGCCGTGTAACATGGTGAGCTCCCGTTTCTTGTCCCAGCTTCTGCCAACGTAGCAGTTCGAAAGCATGTAAAAAATGCAAGTAGAAAAATAGGGACCACATTTGATGGGAAGGTAACAGCATTCTGTGCACCTTTGGAATTTAGTCATGCCAGCCACATGACCATGGAGAGATCTTTGGACAGTGCTGGCTCTTCGGCTTTGAAATGGAAATGAGCACCACCCCCTAGAGTCAGGAATGACTAGCACATATATATGAGGGGAACCGTTACCTTTAACAAGAATATGCATAAAACTCAAGAGTTGAATATTAACCTGGGATGATTTGGAGCCCATTGATTGGTTGATTATTGTAACTACAAATGTGGGGGTTTATTGGGAGTCATTTGGGGTTTTTATTTCTCTAAGCTGCTAGGAGTCACCTTGAATGAGTTGGGTGGCCCTATTAATTTTCTTAAATAAATAAAAATGAATAAATTTGGCAGTTTTCTCCACTAAATTTGCCCTTATGGTGGCATGAAGCCATCTCAATGAATATCCATAATCTACTTTGGGGGACCTGCCCATCACAAGGACAGGTGTGAACTCATTGCCTGGACAGTCATTCCCTCCATTTGGGACAATATGGGTGGGGATCATTTTGTCTGCTCCTACATCGATTGTCCTACTTTACAAGATGTCTGCAGATGCTACAGACCTAAGTCAATCACTGCTACCATTCTCCATCCCACTCAGAACTAGTTGATGATGAACTTGTAACCATTTGTGTGGGGTCCTTGGTCCTTCACCCTTTCCCCTTTGCTTGGATGAATTCTATCTGGACCCCAGATTTCGGATGCTTTCAGAGTCAACCGTGTAGACCCAGATATCAGTTAGTATAAAAATTAGGAGTTTACTTGCTTGCTTGCTGGACAAATATGTTGAACAGGTTGATGGGCATCCAAGCAATCCATTCCAAGCATCTACCTAAACTCATACAATCACACTCAGGTGAAGTGTTTGGGCATGTGTGTACATATGCAAATTTGGGAGCTCTATCAGTGGTGGAATTCTAATTTTTTTACTACCCATTCTTTGGGTGTGGTTTGGTGGGCGTGGCAGGGGAAGTATACTGCAAAGTCTCCATTCCCACCCCCCTCCAGGGGAAAGATATTGCAAAATCTCCATTCCCACCCCACTCTGGGGACAGCCAGAGGTGGTATTTGCTGGTTCTCCAAACTATTCAAAATTTCCACTACCGGTTCTCCAGAATCTGTCAGAACCTGCTGAATAACATCCCTGGGCTCTATGTTATGGGATATTTCAAATTTTGTAAGTCATCTTTAGTTATTTAAGGGGCTTTGATGATGATGATGATGATGATGATGATGATGATGATGATGATGATGATTGAGGAGGAGTCAGAAGATAAGGAGGAGGAGGAAGAGGAGGTGAAGAAGAAGAAGGAGGGGGAGGAGAAGGAGGAGGAAGATGAGGAGGACGAGAGGGAGGAGGAGGAAGAAGAGGAAGAGGAGAAGAAGAAGAAAGAGGAGTCAGAAGATAAGGAGGAGGAGGAGGAAGAGGAGGTGGAGAAGGAGGAGGAGGATGAAGATAAGGAGAAGGAGGAGGAGGAAGAGGAAGAGAAGGTGGAGAAGAAGAAGGAGGAGGAGGAGGAGGAGGAGGAGGAGGAGGAGGAGGAGAAGGAGGAGGAGGAGGAGGAGGAGGAGGAGGAGGAGGAGGAGGAGGAGAACAACCACTTTTGGAATATATTGACACTACAAAATACAATAGAACCACAACAACCCTCTCAGGAAATCCTCTCACTAAAGGCCTTTAAAGTAGGCAAATACATTATCTTATGGAGAAAGAAGCCATGCCAGTTTTCTTGCCAAAATATTCTTGCTACCTTTAGAATCTTCCATTTTCTTCCACAACTAAACTATTCCATTCTTTGTGGCCCGCCAGCAGCCAGCGGATTTGGCAGCAGATTCGGACAGTGAGGAGATTGGGGAAGAACATGGGCCAGTCCTGGAGTCTGGGGAAGACTCTGATGAGGGATTTGTGTTAGAGGCAGAGAGGGGGCCAGGGCCGGATGCCAGTGATCAGCTGCCTTCAGAGTCAAACATCAGTGAGGCAGATGAACAGATGGAGCCTGTTCCCAGTGTGTGCATGTGCAGAGTTGCCAGATGAAGGGAGCAGCTAAAGAACAAGGGTTGACTTGGGAGTAAGGCCTAGATCAGTTTTGGTAAGTGACACAACTTCCATCTCTTTGTAGGCTAATCCAAAGGTCCATGCTTTGGTTTGGCAACTGAGGATGCAACTTTTTATCCACAAGGATCCACAATGTCCTTAAACCTTGTCAGTGGCAGGAATGTCCGTCTTGTATACTCCTTCCTCCTTGCAACCCCTTGTAATGTTCTTGTTCACTTTTGACAGTTGATACCAATGCAGGTTGTTTTCAAATGTGACATGCTCAGCATCATCATCAAGACCTAAAATGGACACCTAACATCAAAAATGTCATCAAAAAAGCACAAGAAAGAATGTTCTTTCTGCACCAACTCAGGAAGCTCAAACTGCCCAAGGAGCTGCAGATTCAGTTCTACAGAGGAATTATTGAGTCTGTCATCTGCACCTCTATAACTGTCTGGTTTCACTCTGCAACCCAACAAGACAGACACAGACTTCAGAGGATAATTAGAACTGCAGAAAAAACAATTGCTACCAACCTGCCTTCCATTGAGGACCTGTATACTGCACAAGTCAAAAAGAGGACTGTGAAAATATCTACAGACCCCTCGCATCCTGGACATAAACTGTTTCAACTTCTATCCTCAAAACGACGCTATAGGGCACTGCACACCAGAACAACTAGACACAAGAACAGTTTTCTCCCGAATGCTAAACAAATAATTCCCTCAACACTGTCAAACTATTTACTAAGTCTGCACTACTATTAATCTTCTCATTGTTCCTATCACCCATCTCCTTCCACTTATGACTGCATGACTGTAATTTTGTTGCTTGTATCCTTGCGATTTATATTGATTGTTTCCTAGTATGATTTGATTGCTTATTTGTACCCTATGACTATCATTAAGTGTTGTACCTTATGATTCTTGACGAATGTATCTTGTCTTTTTATGTACACTGAGAACATCTGCACCAAGACAAATTCCTTGTGTGTCCAATCACACTTGGCCAATAAAGAATTGTAATCTAACCTAATCAGTTGGCCCAACTCTGCATCTCAATTCTCCGGCTGGGATTCATTTCCCCTTCACAGAACTGCTCAGCCTTAGAGGGTTTTTGTACAGGCAGCAGGTGCCTCTGTTTTGCTGTGGATCTTGGGTCCCACAGAAATAGACCGCGGAATTTTTCATCTGCACCTTTGTGATGTTCAACTGACTCTCCTGCTTGTCAAAAGAGGCACTGAAGTGTTCGCGTTTCTCCAATCTCACCGATGTAACCGTTAGGAGAAACGCAGGTCCTTCTCCTGGATATTGCCTGTACCAGTGTATGAAATAGATGTTACTGGAGCTGAACTGACAGGTGATAGTGGAATCCTCTCCTTCTTTGATGATTTCTACAGGCTTCTGATCCACTCGGTCCTGGCATTGGACCCCTGGAAGAGAAAGACATGAGGATCATACACTTGATTCTCAGAAACCTTTGGACCATTTCCCTTTCTTGGGCAGTCTGCAAAATTTGCAGATGACTTAGAAAGGGTCCAAGAAATGGAGAAAACCTATCAATGAGATAGTAAGAATATCTTCACTTGTGATGCTGTAGCTCAAGAAGTTCTTCTGATGTATATTCTGACAGCCACCAGTAGGAAGCTCCATTGAATCATTCATTACAGCCAGGAGATATCTTCGTACCACTGTGCTCCACGCACAGAAATAGACAGCTGAATCCTTAAGTTGGGTGTTCTTCAGATACAAAGAGGTAGTCTTCTCATCTGTGTCCAGGGTCATCTGAAAATGATCCTTTCCTTCAGTCCCTGATGCAATCATTGAGATCATGAATTCTGGCGGGCTCCCTGGATATTGCTTGAACCACTGAAGACGGTCTTCCCTTTCCTGATAGGAGCATTTCAAATGGATGGAGTCTCCTTCCTTAACTGAAAGAAATTGGGGCTCTTGGGTGACAGTAGCTTGACCTGATAAAACTGGAAGGGAAGGGAAACATTAGGAAAAATGATGGAGGCAGGAAGGAAGGGAAGAAGGAAGGAAGGAAGGAAGGAAGGAAGGAAGGAAGGAAGGAAGGAAGGAAGGAA